AAAACTTGGAGAAATAATAAGGTGAAATTGAAGCTGGGAGAAGCAAAACTCTCCAAAACTTCAGAATGCAAACAAGTAGAGGAGTAGAGGTCAAAACATTTAAGTTAAAATGTTAAAATATTACCAGGTGGAAGAAATTTATGTTGTATGTTTAAAGTGAATGAGAAATCACAGCATGCGTTAGCTAGAATGTAATTTTATCAACAATGTTTTTCTTTTGCAATATAGTGTGGTGGGTTTTTCTTAAATCCACTTAGCTTTCTCCCATACTTAGGCCCAGAGACCTACTCAGATAGAATTAGGCACTGGAATAAATGAAACAGTACATTGGTTTCCACGGAACCAACCATTTTCACTACGCTTTATTTTCTATCTATCTTCCCTCCTCACACTTCTTCCCATTTCAGTTTGGAAACATTGAACCAAACATTCAAGTTTCACTTAACCAAAAGAATCACTGATGATCTGCCAAGAGACAGAGAAGCATCAGTTCCATTTCTAATGTGCAGCCTGACAGGCAACCCACAGAGCTGTAAATGCTTCCAGTGCTCCACCTTGATCAAGGCAACCTCTGCATTACTCAGGTAACTAATAATGTTAAATCATTTCATCTGTCTTGCAATATTTCACATGCTTTGCAGAAAAATATCTTAAAGATATTCAACAGAGCTCTGCATATGCTATCGCAAGTGGAAGTTTTAAATGGAGAACTGATGGGGTTTATAGCTCTTACGCAGCTACCTAAGATGGGTTACCAATATCTACTGTCACTGTTCAAAGGTTCAATATATTTGATCCTGCTAGGAACAGACATAGCTTCTGATCAGTAATAGAAAAATATTACCCTTTGAAAAGGGAGATTCCTCAATAACTATTTTTAGCCTGGGTATATTCTGACACATATAAAGAAAATGTCTCTGCATTTTCAGGGAAGAATATGAAAGACTATGATGTTCCATCTAAAAACACTACCCACTATTCCCAAATGCCTGGTAACATCATAAAAAATAATTACAGAGCAGACAAGATCCCAAGCCTCCAAAGCAGCCAGGCATCCCTCTTCCTGGGTGCTGACCTTCCTTCGTGATGGCCACCAAGTATTTGCCTTTTTCACTCACCATCTGGTTTGAGTTTGGGGGTGGGGGGAGAAGGAGGAAGAAATTGGGGGTTTTGATTGACTGGCAGCAGCACAAAGGTGGACACTAGAAACAGTTAACTTTGCCATAAAAACAAAGGGAAAACCCACAGAACCAAGACAAGAGGGTAAAATAATTTGCAGAAAAGGGAAGAAAAAAGCTGACAACTGGGAAATAGCTTAATATGACCAGACTATGACACAATAAATGTGAAGAGAAACGTACATGCTTTTAATGGCAGTGTGCTGGACCTGAGCTACCTAGGTTTATAAGCCCTTCTTTTCAACCTTCTGTTGCAAGAAAAATGGTCTTGACTTGTGAGATTTTTACTTAATTCTGCCAGCTAATGCCAACTTCTGATCACTGCTTTGGTTATTGGAGAATAAAACAACATGAACTACACCAGCACTGCCCTGGCATGGGCCAACCAGGACCACTGCCCCTCAGAGGTGTCCATACCCCAGAATGGGCCACTGATGGCTGCAGTCTCTTGGTGAACTTTTGGACGCTCATTTTGGATACTCATTTTGGATGGACTGCCTCCTTCCAGGAGGACACCTTCAGCCACGCTTCTCATCAGCAGCTTCTCCCTCCCCATGTCCGCTCATGAGCATCTCCCTGCCTGCCTCTCCCTGCAGAGATGCTGGATTCTGCTGGTACAACATGGGGTACTCACACTGGTTTCAGCGCTGCCTGGACCTCACTGTGACCTGCATAGGGCACCCTGCAGCCTCTATCCCTGCCACATATGTCTCATACACTCCCCCAAACTGCTCCGTTACATGGTGCATCTTCCGAACTTTTGTTATTGTTAGTCTACTGCTTGTTAAAAAAAAAAGTCTTCTGGCATCATTTATATATAATTGTTACCACTTATAAATAATTACATGTGCAAATGCATATTTACAAGTCTATAGCTCTGCTAATGTTTGAATTTATTTCCAAATAATCTGGTTAAAAGTTCTTGAGCGCTTTCCCACACAAACCTGTCAGAGTTATACAGCTGTCAGCATCAGGCAGAAGAGCTGTTTATCACACAAAAAAATGCCTACTCTTTTAAATATGCTGCAATATAGATACCTCTGCATGCACTAACAGAGTGGAAAAGAAATCTAAAGAGGTCACAAAGCCTTCGATTAGGCCAGAAACTGAAAACTATCATAATTAAATTTAATAACTAGAAAATGGTAATAAATATCACTACATATTCATAGCATTAATTAATTAAATAAAAATTATTAAACCCCAATATTTTGGAACACTCTACTTCCCTACTTTTCAGTGATCTGCATTGCAGAAAAGCCTAAAAATGAATGACCGCTGGGCGGGCGGAAGTCTGCACCCAAACTGATCTCCACTGAGGCTCCTGGCCCCTGGATGTATTTGTTTCTCATTCGTAACAAAAAGCTCCTCCTGCTGGACTGTGCAAGCTAGTCTGGCTCTTGGATGAGCAATTCCAGATCAGAAACCCCATGCTACACATTTACAGAAGACAAATATGTGCAACTAGGATATCAATGCTAAGAAAAACTAAGTAAAGCTATGCTAAGCTTTGCTGAGCAAATCAAAGCATAGCCCAGTACCTACTCCACACTGGCAAATCCACAGGTCTCATTCACATAGCTCAGTAATTATGACAAGGGCCCACTAATGCTGTAGAAACAAACTTAAAAGAAATCTGTTTGAGTTTTCAATGTGACCTTGTTTGTCCAGAAACTCTGAAATGAGCCATTAAAACAAGCAAAAGTCAAACTGACTTTCAAATTTTCCTTTTGATCTTAGTAAATAAGGAAATGAAATACCAAATAAAAATTCAATTGTTTACAAAACTAAGATCATTTGATTATATCAATAATAAACTAAGAAAATAATGTAAATTTTTGCTGGGTTTTTTTTTAATGGCATTCTACCTTTAAAGGCTTCCCTTGGAGAAACTAAAATCTGCTGCCTTGAGCACTGCCCTTAGACAAAAAAGTAGGTCCACTGACCTTCGAAATAAAACACTTCACACCTCCTGATGTGTCATTAATTCCAACCTCTGGGGAGGTTACGGAAAAATAATAATTAATGGACTGCCAGAAAATGGTCTCAGATTTAAGGCCGTTTCCTTAGCTACCAATTGATGTGTTAGTTATTTTGCTTTTATTAAATGGGTAAATCAATGGTCACTATTTTTTAATGGGGATAGTAAATAGCTTTTTGATTTAAACTGACAACTTTAAATCTTGACCGACATCTCTGCTCAATAATAATATGCTCTTGAAATGCTAGCCTATATGTCCAACAAAAGCCTGCTTTTATTAAAAGGATGCTTCTTTTAATTTTCCTCTATGAAATCTAACTTTTGTAATGAGAACTTTCAAATCATGTAAGATTTGCACTTTATACTCCAAGCCTTGAAATCTTGAAGAAAAATTTGCTTTCATCTCTGAAGAATTAATGCAAGGCAGTACTGCTGGAAAGGTAGCTAAAATTAAACGATACAGCTCTCCAGCACTGTCTCCCTTACACCTTCCCCAAACCTTTTCTCATGTATTTATTTCTTCATTTTTAGCTTTGCAAAGCAAGGATAAATAAAGACATTGCTCGAGAACTCCAGGTCATTTGGCAGAATTAAAAGTACTTCCAGAGAAACGTCAGGTCACAGTTAGATTAATTACCAGCAGCACATAATATGGTTTCTTTCCTGTTCTCATTTAAACAATTACAAAGTAATTTACTTCTTCAAAGGCTTACTTAAGACAGGTGTTATAGTGTCCTAATGGTCAAAAATTTGGCCTTGATTTGGCTGGTTTTACTGCTTTACAAAACCTAAATATCTTTTTCTTGTGTTTCTCTAGGACCCCACTTAGCAGTTGTTCCCAGACAAAAATGAGAACACAGACAAGAGACCTCTATGGCATTTCCAGTCTATTTTGTCTTCTCTTTGACACACTTCCCTGTTCAAAATAGTTAGCAAGCCTAAATAATACAGAAGCACTATTAAAACCTGTCCTTGGAGTTCTGCAGTAAAAAGCCCTCCTCCATACAAATTGTAAGACTGGATACGTGGAGAGATAAAATGACTTGAAGAGTGAACAGAGAAGGAGCCAGGAGGAGGGGAGCAAAAGGATCTTGAGGGTCACCACTTCACCTTCTTGAAGGCAATGATCTTTATTCCTCAAGGGAAATCAGAGCAGCAGTTTCCCAAATGCTGCCACTTCATCGGCATATTTACATTTTGCTGGCAGCGGTATAAAAATCACCTGCCTGAGCCCTCAGTCCTCTTCCACAGCACATCTCCATGCTAATATATGAAAGGAAAGCTAGTGGACAACCTCCCGGAAATGGCCTTTTCAGGGAAATTCTCTTGTGAGGGCACCAAGAATATTATTACAGTGCACCTGTATTGTTGAAAGAAGACACAGTGCTCACTGGAGTGAAAAGGATCCTCTGGACAATCTGGTTCTTTCCTTATTTACACAGACTCTGAATGCTTGCATTATTGATGTGAGCACAGCTGCCTGCTACCACTGATAGACAAGAAGAATCAAGTTGTGCAAGACTGGTGAAATGTTTTCTTAACATAATTATCAAGGTATTGCAGTAGTCCTATACTAAAATACACTCCTATTTACTACTTCAGTACAAAGGCTTTTCTGAAACAGTAATTTTAACTCACGATGCACATACTAACAAAATGTTACTGTAATGTTCATCAGAGTGCTAATGCAATGCAAAACTCTACTGATGCTTAATTTTCAGATTGCTGTCTTCCATGTATGTCTTCTGAGAATAAGGAACTAAGAGTTACTCATTCTACCAGCAAGCTCCTTATTTGTCTCTGCCAGTAACAAATTCATTCTGACGCAAACATTCCTCTTACTTCCACTTGTGAGACAATGTCTTACCTACAGATTATGGTAATCAAGCAAAACTGTGTGTGAATTTACTTGTGAAGTAAAGACAAATCACTCAACTACTGTGGAGTTTGGTAAAAAATGCTGCATGCCACCATCTTCTCTTTTGATGCAATGCTTTATGTTTTGTACTGGTTTATGAAAGACGGGAAAAAGATGAACAACGCAATGGTTGCTCATTCACAGGGTAAGGAATTAGATAGGGACTTTCATGCATCCAACTAACCATTTTCCTTGTGTGGCAGTAGAGCTGTGCTAGTATGCTTAGGAAGCCTGTTTTTTGAAAAAGGACCTCTGCAAGAGGATAAAACTTGATTTGGAAGGGAAACAGGTCCCAGCTGCTGCAGGGTTTTGGCGGGTGTTTTCCCCTTTCGAAAGACCAGGCTCTTTTTGCACATTCTGATTACTTCTCAAACTGTCCTTTCCCAAGCATGTTATTGAAGTGTCCTTGCATCTCGGCACTATTCACACAAATCTTTCTGCTGCCAAACCAAAAATAATCTTTATCTCTTAATTCCTGTACTGCTACCCAAGCAGCTGGGGACACACACACACACCCCCAAAATCCTAAGCTAATATCCTAATTTATGAAATTATTCAAACACAAGAGGGCCCAGAAGGCCACCCAGGAGAGGAAGGGTTTGAGAAAACTTGCAGGGAGAAAGATGATAGCTTAGACAGGTGATCAAACATGTAATACACCTGCAGCCAGCCATTCCTGTATTGCCAGGAATATAGGAATACATTCCTGTGTTGCCAGGAACAATTTCAGGCTATCAGCTTACAGAGTGCACAAAACAGGGAACAAACCTCAACCACCACCAAACATACCAGAGTAAGCAGAAACTTCTATCTATTCCACACTCAACAAAACTTATTTTGGAGAAAAAAAAGGCTGTCAGATTCCAAAATCCACTCATGTGTTTATGCTATGTAGACACCTAAAATGTACTGAATATTTAAGCAATGGAGATTTTTCACCTAGTAATTAGAGTTATAAAAAAACAGGAGTATTACGTGGCACATTATTTTTAAGTACTCTGCAGACCATACAGAAAATATCACACTGACTTGCCTACATTTAATCATATGAAACCTCCTACTTAAGTTCTTGTCAACAGCAAAAGCACCAGTTATAAACCAGTCTTCCCATCATATATGAAAGACAGCTGTTTATTGAGTACCAATTTATTCCACCCAAATCTGGAAAAAAAAAAAACCAAAAAACAAAAAACAAAAACCAACTCTGCATCCACTAAAAATATTAAAAGCTGTTTCCAACACAATTCAAGCGATGATAACCATAAGATCCATACAGTACTAACATGTGTTAACACTTCTGCTTCCCTTCTATTACTATGTGATCACATACATCATTTCTCAATAGGACTGATGCCATACTGTACTTATTTTTCAACACTGACAAAAAGTAGGTAACAGAAGTATCTAATACACACATCAGTTTTCTTCTAAGCAAAAGAAAACCAAAACTTAGTTCTTTGCCTTATTCACATTTACACAATCAGGTAAAAAAGGATTTTCTTCTGTTAAGTAATCCATATCATCCAAAGATGATTTACTCAACAGAAGGGAAAACCATGTTTTCTCTTATCCCTTATGCTAGCCTACAAATGAATCAATAAATATTAAATTATATATAAAATTTCATGAAGATATTCTCTTTAGAAACCCTATTTTG